CTATAAACAAATTTTGTAAATTTACATATATATTAAATGTAAAAATTACATGATTATTCCAATAAATATAAAAAAATCAGGCAATTTCACAGAAGTTATGTAATTCCACAAATATTATGTTAATTAGCATTTATTGTGTAAATATATCTTATATTACATGGAACATTACGTAAATAGCAAGATATTTCGAATATTTTCTGTAATTATTCAAATTTTCATAATATTACGTAATATAACTGTAATTTTTCGCGTATTACCGTCAAATGTATAATAATACATAATGCAAAATGTATTGTCATATATTATTGTTCCTATAACTACACATACACATTGTAATTATACGTCCACAATCTGCTTAGGTATAAACCAAGAAATTATTTTTATTTGCATATTGAGAATTTACAAACGCGTGACCGTTTATAACCATTATTGTGGGTCTCAAAACTATACTACTTATATAGTATAATACCACTATAATAGTTGTAATTTTACACAAAAATTTTTTACTGTGCATGACGCTTGAAACTAAAAAGCCTAGACCCATCCGCTGTGATTGGCGGTCGTCGATTTTAAAAAAGTAACGGAAAAGTAACGAAAAGTTTTTTTTACTGTTACTTTCTTAAGTACTCGGTAACGAGTAACTGTAACTTGTTACTTTTAAAAAGTAACTTTCTATTCCCTGCGTTTGATTATGTTTTGATATCAACCTATACATAGTTAAATGCATTTTGATTAAACCAAACAGAATTTCAAGTTGTCACAATTTTGAGATTTCACAAATAGAATGTTGGTAATCTACTATATAGTATAAAGGTTATGTTCTATTATATTTTATATTACATCATATTATAAAGCTTTCTTTAAATCTTTTTCAGTGGCATAGTATGAGTGATTTATTCGGTATATGATCTTGTTCAGTGGAAAATTAAGCATCACCTTTTCCAAAATTCTAATTAATTACAACTTCAGCGCATTCTAGCAGTTCGAATATTGTACCAGTCAACGCAGGTCAGGCGAACATATACTATGCACTGAACTATAAAAATAAATCGGAAATGCCTCCAAATTATTTTAAGTTATCCTAATTTGCCGAAAATACAGTTGCGTTAATTACAGGTTACGTCGTGCGAATAGGGTTTAAAAGATTCATTGCATATCTTGTTGCTCTGTTCTCTGCAATGGCAACTTCAACGACAATAGGCTTAAGTTAATTCTTCAAAAATCGAATGGCGGCCTTATATTTCCTTCTCCCGATGTTGCAACGATTTGCAGTTTGACTGAAAAGACGTTTCGAAGAGCTATACATGTGTCGCCTACGGACATACCAAGATTTAATCATATCGTAGTAAATGCAGTATTTGCCAATTTAGCCACGAAAAATTTGTTTCC